AGATATCAAAAGGTGACTGGAAGCTGTAGCGAGATATATTTGTTGGCGATCTCGTGATATCGAAGGAATACCGAGATCGTGCCAAAAAGTACAAGCGGAATCACTGAGCAAAAGTAAGTGCGTGCAAAGTCACAATCAACGGAAAAAGGTATGTATTTTGGTACAGTCAAACAAACAAGTACGGTAAAACAATCCCTGGTACAGTTGGTTATAATAATAATTGTTTTCATTAAACCAATCGCGTTCTCTTGATAAAAGTAGATCACTACAAGGGTTTCAGAGCTGTCCCATAAATTAAGCTCTATATTACTAAACAGAAGAAACGGTGTCACTCCAAATTACAGCCAATCAAGTAATCTAGATTAACCAAGCGAAACTGTCTTACCTGAGGGTCACCATGGTTATTATTTGAAGAACATCAGCTCGATAACTCACCAAAGAGATAAATTTCCGATGATATCTCAGTTTCTATGCTAGAATGTCCTACCAGGTGGTTAGATTATCAGTCGTAGCACTCGTTAAATCCCCTCCCCTCCGAGTAACTTCATTCTCAGCGCGCTATTTAAAAAGGACAGTGGTATTTTTCCTCGCTGAGTAAATGTCATTGTTTTGATCGTTTATTACGTATCAAGACTACTGTTTTCACTTTAATTGAGTTCATTTCAGTCAAAGTATTCGACTAGAGTACCGTTTTTACCGTTCTCTCAATTAGTTTTGTCGTTGGTACTCTTGAGTACCTCATTTTCAATTGTATCTGTTTGTACTTTTGGTCCTAACAATCTATAGTCCTTCAATTTTTGATCATTTATTATTTTTTTGTTTCTGAGTATCATCGCATCTTGTTCCTTTTTGAAAAGGACTTCTTTTAAACGACCAGACAGTGCAAAAAAAGCAGTTGCCAACGTCCGGGTTGTCGTTATCCCGTTGAAAGCGGCGTGCAGTGCGACGAGTGCAAAAGCTGGTACCACGAAGTTTGCACGAACTTAACACCTGCGGCTTTCAAACGGTTCAGTAAGAAGGGTTGCGTATGGCTTTGTCAACAGTGCTGTTCGGATGCAAATAGCCTGTTAACCGAGGCCATCTCACTGGTTGAAGTGTGTTTTAGCAAGCGTAGCCGGAACACGTCAAACAGCATTCGATCTGTCGACACGCAAATCGAAATGAAGCAAACTAAGGTTAGTCCGATAACAGATGACTCACGCCGGCCAAAGAAGGAAAGGCAGTCTCCAAAGAGGCCTGCCTTAAACAAAAGCTCAAGGAAAGTAGGTTCTTCCGCTTCCCGTCTCCCAGATGGGATCTAGCAGGAAACGCCTAGAAGCCGCAATCGCAAGGCTCGATCGGTTTCAAGCGGTAAACATAACCTGACCTCTCTGGTCGTCGACGACCCCCCAGAATCCAACACTGGGCTTGACGCAACTGTTGTTGCTTCTCCCAGCACCGTTGACGAGTGGGTACAGGTTGTAAGGAAGAAAAAAGTAGTGATACAAAAGGTAATCATACCCCCGCGAATGTAGTCGTAAAATCGAAAGTTGATCATAGCGACAGATCAGCTATTTTTCATAGAATCAAGGAGAGCGAGGACTCTGAACCTAAAGCTCGTTTTGATCATGACATTGTGCTGATTAAGAAGCTGCTTAGTCAACTAATGCCTCAAAATATCACCGGGGTCACCTTGCTAAAGGTGTACAGACTAGGGAGTCTAACGGACTCAAAACCAAATCATTCCAGACTGCTTAGAGTAGTATCCAACTCTTCGAACGAACGTGACTTAATTTTACAGAATGGACACAAATTAAAGGGTTCAGAAGTCTTTATACGAAAGGACTTACCGTTGGCAGACCGTGTAAAAGGACGGGAAGCCGAAAAGAACTACAACTTAGGTTAGACGCTGGCGAAAAGGACCTAAAAATTGTAAATTTTCGGGTTGTAAGGCTTCGACAGAGAATGATGCCGAAGCCACTCTGGGTGAAGCACGAGGCCACTTAAATAGGCTTCGGATCTGCTACACTAATGCCCGAAGCTTACTTAATAAGCGATCGGAACTAGGTGTACAGATTGACTCTACAAAGCCAGACATAATCGCAGTTACAGAAACCTGGCTGACACAGGCTATAGATAGTATGAAACTTGATTTCGAGGGTTTTACGTTAGTAAGGGCCGACAGAATACAAAAGCCTAAAGGAGGGGGAGTAGCTCTATTCATTGCGAATGCTACCCCACTTGCCATTATCGACAGTGTATTCTATGAGAGTGGGACGTGTGAATAAGTTAGTCTCCGCTTGAAATGCAAGGGACAAGAGCTGCTGATTGGTTTGGTCTATCGCAGTCCAAGCTGTGAGGTAAATGAAGTCCTGCTAAGCAGTCTCAATACTTGGTCACAAAGTGGTCGATGTCTAATCCTAGGGGACTTTAATGCACCTATGGTAGACTGGGAAAATCTGCGAACTGAATCGTCAGAAAATTCATTCGAGCAGGAACTAGTTGATGCGGTTATCACATGTGCTTTAGTGCAACATGTGAAAGAAGCGACAAGGTACGATCCGGACACTGAATCATCCTTACTAGATCTGATACTCACTCACTATGTGGATGACGTTGCGAACCTCCATTATATTCCACCCTAGGTAAAAGTGATCACGCAGTTTTAATTTTCGACTTCCATATAACTGTCAGTCACGAGCACGCGTCAGCCCAATCCAGACCTAACGTCTGGAAAGCAAATATACCAGATATCATGCACTCAGCATCGTTAGTAGATTGGACAATAGACCCAGAGTCCTCAGTTGAAACGGCCTGGGACGCATTTCGAAATTCATTCTTAAAAGTTACCACACCCCACATCCCTTGGACTATACCAAGGGGCCGAGAAACCCCTCACCACGATTCAGTAGAAAGGTCTGCCTCCTTCTCCGTAAGAGAAGAAAAATGTGGGATAGATTTAGGTTACTGGGGACTTATGAAACTAAATCCCAGTATAGAAAAGTCCGGAATACCTGTGCGTCGACCCTCCGTAAGTCTAGAAAGTTGTACGAAGAAAAGATTGTTAAGGAATCCATAGAATGTCCTAAACGCTTGTATTCTTATACAAACCAAAGGACAAGAGAAGAGGAAATATTCCTGCTCTATGAGGAGGCAACGCTGCCGCGTCACTAGTGGAGGACGACTTTGGTAAGGCTCAAGTGTCCTCAAACTACTTTAGCAACGTATACACCATAGAAGCACTCTTCCCAGCAGCGCATACAGATCCCCCCATACATACACTGGATAGCGTGACCATTAAAGAACTCGATGTCTTTAGTCTACTAAATAAGCTTGACATAAGTAAATCCACGGGGCCCGATGAATTAATCCTAGGCTACTGAAGGAATTATCTAACTCCGTTGCGAACCCTTTAAGTATATGCTTTAAACTATCCGTAACGCAGGGTCGTTTATCCAAAGACTGGAAAAACGTCATAGTAAGTCCTGTCTTCAAAACAGGTACGAAACACAAACCTGAGAATTGCCGCCCCGCTAACCCAACTAGTGTGGTTGTTAAAATCTTAGAAAAGATTATTCGGAAGGAGCTGTTTAAGTATCTCGATAAAAACCGGATCCTCTCGGAGAAGCAGCACGGCTTCAGAATAGGTTATCTTGTCCCACTAACTTATTAGTGGCTCGTGAAAGCTGGTGCGCTCTTAAGGATCAAAAATTACCTGTAGACGTAGCCTTCATTGATTTCAGCAATGCTTTTGACAAGGTTCCGCACAACCGGCTGTTTTATAAGTTAAGAAATGTCGGGATCGGAGGCAATCTATTTATGTGGACAAACGACTTCTTAGTTGAGCGTCAACAAAGAGTTCGGGTGAACTCAAAGTTATCTAGCTGGGAAACTGTGCTTAGTGGAGTGCCTCAGGGTACAGTTTTGGGGCCAGCACTATTCCTCTTGTATGTAAATGACCGTCCTCGTCTCCTATCATCATCGGTCTTGCCATATGCTGACGATGTCAAGATATGGAGGACGATACGATGTGAGGGTGATAGCTTAGAACTCCAAAATGACCTGCAGAAATTACCTGAATGGTCTCAAACATGGCAGTTGCCGATAAATACTTCCAAGTGTGTTGTGATGCATATCGGTCATCAAGGTACAGATACATACACGATGAATAACACTGAGCTACCTGTCGTCCAGACATATAATGACTTAGGAGTTATCGTTAGTCAAGACTTAAAGATTACTGCACACTGCCGTGCAATAGCCGCCAAAGGTTTGAGAACCTTATGGTCAATACGTGGAGCTTTTAGTCATGTCGACGCTAAGACGTTTTTGACTTTGTATACAGTGTTCGTACGTCCTAAACTTGAGTACTGCATACAAGCGGCTAGCCCCTGCTTAAAAAAAGACAGTGAGCTTCTGGAAAAGGTTCAGAGAACGACAACTAAGCTGATTCCCGGAATAGCGAAGCTTCCGTATGAAGCTCAACTGGTCAAGCTGAACCTTTTCCCGTTGTCATATCGCAGAACTAGAGGCGACTTGATTACAGTTTTCAAATTGCTTAGTGATAAATTTGCACCTGATATGCCCTCATTTTTCCAAAACAGAGAATTTACAAGGACACTCCAAAAAAGTTCATAAGCCAAGAACAAATTACTTGTCAGTTGACTATCGACTTTACATAGAATCATCGAGTGGAACTCATTACCTCAGCACGTGGTTGAGGCTCCATCCGTCGATACTTTCAAAGGAAAGTTGGATCAACTGAGGGACCACCATTGCCAGGACTAACACAGACCATCAGGCCTCCTGTCCTTCCCAAACTGAAACTGAAACTGATGTGTAACATGACTTGCTCTAAAAAATAAAATAAAAAGTAAATTAGCATATTTTAGGACCAAGGGTCATTCTTTAATGTATAAAATGGTACAATTTGATTATTTTGATTTTGTACTGCTTTGAATTCTTTGAATGTACACTAACCTTGAGTGTTACTATAGACGACTTCTCGAATATGTAAGCAGATGGGGAAAAAATCTGCAAAAGACAAATCTCCAAAAGTTGGAGATCTCCATATTATTTCAGATCCAAGTAAATAATAGTGAACTGTCTTGTTTGTTTCATAGAGGATTATGTTGTGACTGGTATTTTGGAAAATGATTTTCCCGGATTATGTAGACAAATTGGTGTCACTCATTGTCCAATTGTGTCCACAAAACACTCCCAAGCCATAATTACACAGACAGTGTGTTCAGGATTTTGGTGATTTGAATATCTTTCCATCTAGGTATCTTCTTTACCATCGTCGAAACGCTCAAAAGAAGACAAGAAAAGCCCTCAGTCTCAACATTCATCAGTTACTAAATATTCTGACGGTTAGTTTCACATTTCAACTCCAGCGTTTTAATACAGTGTTTATCTATTTTTTTTTGAGTAAAAATTGCGTTATAAGTTTTACTGTAACTACACCCATCGGTTCCCATTTATGCATTTACCGAGTAATTGTTACATATTTCTATATTCAAAATGTTTTTTACACAAAAATTTTCCGAGGCTAGCGGTGAAATGACAAATTCATCACGAGTGACGGGAAATTCAGTATCATTTAGACTGTGATTTTAGTCGCAGATTCTACTCATAGAATTTAAGATACTCAGTATTCGTAAATGTATTGAGGTATTGCAGCTGGTCATTTGTCATTTTTTTAATGTTTTCTGAACGACACATCATAGTGTTCTTAAAGGGAGAGTTGCTGAAACTGAAAATAAGTTATGGAGTCCTACGAATGGCAATAAATTTGTTTTAAGCATATTTTTTCTTAGTCTTCCGAAAGGATCCGTTTTACGAAAAAGGTCAAAAGTGAAAGTACATAAAATATCGCATTATTTTTATGACTTAACTAAAAGTTTACATTTAAACAGCTTTGGAACATTTTATTTGACAAGAAGAATAAAGTTGCTTCAACTCTTTTTTATCCGATATCAAATTAGAATTTGAAAACTGTTTCCTTCTTGCCTTTTAGCAAGCATTTTTCATAGTAGCATCCCATTTTGTAGAAATGACTAATACTCTAGATACAATCCATAAACTTTGGACAGACTTATACCATATGAAGTTTTATCAGTGCCATGAATGATTCTGATTGTTCTTTAAAATATTTTTCAGATACTGCTAGATAATGTGCTATGGGTTTTATGTATTGGATAATAGGAATCACCAGACTGCTGTGAACATTCAACAATGTAATGCCACTAACCAAGCTTTCTCAACCCCGACAGTCACCGTATAAATTACCAATGTTATTTGACGAAATGTTCTAAATGGAGGTTGATGTTAAAGTACAGATTGCTGCTTGTGACTCAGTGATATAGTCGTACTATGTACTTAGAGAAATATGCACGTCTTTGGTTCGATCTTTCATGAGATCACGAATACAGCCAGTTACTCATAGTTAACATGAAGCCTGAAGTAAATATGCATTAGTCTAGGTTGCCTTAACATACCAAATGAACGAGATGAAATTAGCGTAATAAAACGTGAAGGAGCCAATATGATAGTAGTATAAAGGACAGTAAAGATGAATAATCACTGATGGATATATTTTCCAAGAAGTTGTTGATTCTAGGAATTAGAGATGATGAATTGTAATGAAGCTGAAGGCTCATCGGAAAATAAAGAGTTAACTTTACTGAAGCATTGTGACAGATTCTGAGCCACGTCACCCAACTTCAACTAGTGATCACTAATTATCTCAAGAACGTCAATCAAGTGCTTTCCATCGGCTAATATGGATTATTCAAGTGTCAACTACTTCATAGATAAATTTTATATCTTAGTTTTGCCACTAATTGTTTACTTCCAACCTATTGTTAATGAAACAGTCATTAAAGGTTGGGATAAGTTGTGGGCAGGCAAAGGAACACATATCCCAGCTTCCTCAGTAAAATGAGATTCACAGCTCCACCAGCCAACTTCCGGTATGTCCGCAATGCTCTACTTACAACCCTTGTATTGTTCATGACAATTTTTCTTGATTTACAAGAACTGGTTCCAGGATCGTCTAAACGCGCACTAAGAGAGTCCTAATATAGAGTGAATGGGTTATCCGATGACTTCCAGTTTCTGGCGAAAATGCTTACGAAGTTTCAAGATATGATCATCGATTTTTCAGATTTCTCACCATAATGATTGACTTGTTGGTAGAATTTTTGTATTTACTGCCAAAATTTAAATTTTTACGGAAAACTCAATCCTTATCAAAATATAAACTCGTGAAAATTCGAGATACCCTACCGCGCAAGAGTGTATTTATCTGTCATGTTTACAAGTAGGATAAAAATGTGTAACATACTATCAGGTGTTATTTTTGGAACAGAAATAAAGCCCAATAGCTCATTTGTTTTCTTTCCTGTCACAATTTAGAAATACAACCACCATTAGGATTTAATCCTACAACATTCAAATTATGTAAAACATTGGAATATTTGAAACCGAAAATAATTGTTCAGCAGGAAAATCCTGATAAACCGGAAACAGTTAATGAAGTTTCTATAAAAGGTATGCTTTGACAACGTAGAGATTTTATGGAGCGAAAATGAAAAAAATAGGTTGGAAAATAAGTAATAATCAATTGGATGTATTAATCAAATGTTTTTCTGCTGCAAATAAGCTTTCCAAACTTGTGTGAGTACAATTATTTGTGATTATAATTGCTTAATTTAGTAAATTGATATTTAATGAATAATATGATATTTTTGCAGATAATCTTAAACCGAGACACAATTTTCTACATAAATTGATACGGCATCAATATATACCCTACCATTTCAGTAAAATATCATGAAATTCATTCTTATATTGAGTTGGCCAGTCGTAGACAACGTAAAACCTGGTACATGTGCGAGTCAGTTTAAGTTACTGCATCACAATAATACAAGGAGATGTAGTTATAGAGACAAATCCCAAGGTAACAGAAGCGGTAACAGTATCAGTAGTATCTGTAGTAAAAGAGACTAGGTATGAATGATATGATTTGCGAGGAACAAATTTGTGGAATGAATTTAATTTTGAAACTCTGAGTTTAAGCGAAGGCTGAGAGTTAATGTTAATGCTCCATTACAACCGATTCTGAACCGTGTCATTCAACGTCTTCAACCACTAATTACGATAATCATGTGAACCTCAACCAAGTAGTCTGAACTTACTTATATGGATAAATTTGACCGTCATTGGCATCATGGATTGATTCCAAGCTTTAGTTTGACCGCCTCTTGTACTTTTCTAATATACCCTTGTCGGACCAGCAATATGGACTGAGGCAGCTTCACTGAATCAATAGAAAGGTATCTCGTTGCCTATCCGTCAACAAATCACGTTGAAAACGACTCTATAGATCAACAGTGGGGTTAAGCTATCATTCTATAAGATGCGATTCAAGTGATAAAAGAAGAAGCTTGATCGATAGAAATTACCTCATTCCATTTCTTTCTCGAGAACGGGATCTTTATCATTGGTCGGAGTTTATTTTAACTTACTAGAAATGAAAAATATAGTGATATCACTAGCTACTTTAACAACTCAAAACTAATCTCTTATAGAGTCTACTAGTCGTTCTAAATGCCTAAGTCATAATATTTCAGCTAACGTTTATTTGTATCAGAAGGGGTTTTGTGGAGATTGTAGTAATCTCAACAGTTGAGATCATGAGTTAATTGAAGTTAGACCACCATGGAAAGCCTGGAAGCACTGGACGGCCGTTTCGTCCCAGTATGGGACTCTTCAACAGAGCTCATCCACGACCCCGTCTCGTGGGGTTCGAACCCGATCGAAGCTGCTACCTTGACGCGGTGATCGGGCTTGCCTATCGTGATGACCCAACCGAGCTATATTGGCTGGAACATATGTTCCTGCAGGTTCTACCATGCCAGGCAGGTCGATTGGCGAACGGTAAGACTAAAAGCAGCAACTCAAGGTCTGAGGGCGAAGTCGTACTGCTGACTGTAGAGAGGTGTGACAGCAGTAAGGTGTTTCCCTCGGACAACCAGCATGACAGCGATGCTGCCTTCCCACAAGGAGGGGTGGGGTTAGAAAAGGTCGACCCTAAAAATGCACACCTCACCTTACCTCACGGATTTCCGTCTCCGGCGGTAAGGCCCCTTGAAGAACGGAGCTAACACGTCAAAAACCTTCCACAAAAAGGCCGTGCGCGACCGGCCTCAAGCAGTTGTCCCTTGGGCTCTGCGGTCACGCTCCCAGGTCGTCAAGACCAACACTAATCCAATTTCCTTTTCAGGTTCCTCAAGAAATACCCTTCCACGGTGTGGGCAGCCGGGAAGTGACATCAGCCCTCATACCCGTAACAGCACAAGAGACCAAGGTGGTCACATTCAAATCCTTCCTACACCTCCTAATACTTCTCTTATCCTCCCGACTAACCCTCCTCACGTCTCTTTATCACCTCGCACCGCTAGGGCAAACGATTCGAGTACGTGGAACGCCATTCCTGGTCTCCTGAAACCACGCTCTAAACTACACGTAGGAGCTTTTAACGTACGAACACTTTGCCAAATAGGACAGCAGGCTTCCTTAGCTAAAACTTTAGAATCTCGCGCCATCGATGTGTGCTGCGTCTCCGAAACGCGCATACAGGATCCAAGTAGCGTCATTCATTTGACCTCACCATGCCAAAATAAAGAACCGACTCGATTTACGCTTCGTGTATCTGGAAGCCCTGATTCTGCTTCCCGTGGCCTCGCCGGCGTAGGTATAGCATTGAGTCCTAGGGCAGAACTAGCTCTCTTAGAGTGGATCCCAATAGACAGTCGTTTGTGCGCTGTCCGACTGAACGGAACAGTAAGAATCCGGAAAGATAGGGACACTCGTCGTTGCCTCTTCGTCGTCTCTGCCTATTCTCCCACTGACTGCAGCTCAGATGATGTAAAAGATGAGTTTTACAGAAAGCTTTCGGACCTTCTCCGAAAAGCTAGGCGCTCGGATGTAGTAATAGTGGCCGGTGACTTTAATGCTCAAGTAGGCAAACTAAGTGATAAGGAAAGACACCTAGGTGGATCTTATGGTGTCGTGGCTCAAAGAACAGATAATGGCGACCGTCTGTTGCAGCTATGCTCAGATAACCGCCTGTTCCTTGCAAATACTAACTTTAAGCATAAGGAAAAACATCTTTTAACATGGCGACCCCCTAATTCGTCCCAACGTTGGACCCAAATAGATCACATCGCTATCAGCCACCGATGGAGGGGCTCGATAGAAGACTGTCGCTCATTCTGGAGCACATGCCTAGATTCAGATCATGCTCTAGTGCGAGCGCGTATTTGCTTGCGTCTTACTGGACGTAGGAAAGACGCTGCAAGGAAACCTCTTAGGGCCCTACTTAATGATAGTCAAGCTAAGAGTATATTTCAGGAACAACTAGGAAAACAGTTAGGCAGCCATGTATGTGATGCCCACCCCGATGCAGCATGGAATGATATCCGAAAAGCTGTGGAAACAGCAGTGATATCTGCTAGTAAGGTAAACCAGAAGGTTAGGGAGCAACACTGGATCTCAGCAGCATCTATCTCACTGATAGATGCTCGGAAACACATTCCACCTGGCTCTGAACATAATGAAGAGCGGAGTCAGCTTAAGCGCAAGCTGACAAGAAGTCTACGCAATGATCGCGAACAGTGGTGGGTAGCGAAAGCAAGAGAGATGGAAAAGGCAGCGGCAATAGGTAATAGCAGACAATTGTTCAGACTCGTTAAGGAAACCGGAATTAGGAACCCGACCGTTAGCGAAACAATCTCAGAGAAAGATGGACATATTATTCATTCTCAATCCAGGAGATTGGATCGATGGGCAGAACACTTTAGGGATCAGTTCAACTGGCCTTCAGCCACACTTCGGTTTCCCACGATCTCCAGTCAACCTGAATGGCAAGTTAATGTAGGTCCTCCGTCCCTTTACGAAGTTGAAAAAGCCATAGGAAATCTGAAACGAGGGAGAGCAGCAGGCCCTGACAGGTTTACTCCTGAGATTTTTAAGGATGGTGGTCCAGTATTAGCAATGAGATTAACTGAGGTCTTAGGTAGAATTTGGGAACTGGACGTAATCCCATCTGACTGGTCTCAATCACTGATTGTGCCAGTTTTTAAGAAAGGACAAAAGTCCTCTTGTGACAATCACAGAGGAATCAGTTTGACTAATATAGTGTCTAAAATATTAGCTTCAATAATACTTCGACGCCTAACTAAAGCTCGTGAAGAGCAGACTAGAGAAAACCAGGCTGGTTTTCGACCTGGACGTGGTTGTATAGATCAGATATTCACACTACGTCAGGTTCTAGAACACAGACACACATTCAGACGCCCCACAATGGTAGTATTTCTCGACCTTAAGGCGGCATTCGACTCGATTGATCGTGAGGTTCTATGGCAGTGTTTGTCACTGAAAGGAGTACCAAAGAAGTACATTAACCTTATAAAGGCTCTCTACTCGAACACAACTGGTCGAGTGAGAGCTTATGGCGAACTGTCATCAGAATTGATCACCTCAAGTGGTGTTCGTCAGGGCTGTCCACTCTCCCCATTCTTGTTCAACTTTGTCGTCGACGTACTTTTAGAGATAACACTCTCCTCATCTAAATTTACAGGGGTTGAACTTCTACCAGGAGGTTCACTTGTTGACTTAGAATATGCTGATGACATCGTTTTATTTGGTGAAGACACTGACAAAATGCAGAGTCTTCTGGCCACTCTAAGCAACAATGCAAGCATGTTCGGGATGCGATTCTCTCCCTCGAAATGCAAAATGTTGCTTCAGGATTGGGTTACATCGACACCCGAACTAGTGATAGGGAGTGAAGTAGTTGAGTGTGTCGACCGCTTCACTTATCTTGGAAGTCTCATCAGCCCTTGTGGTTTAGTGTGTGACGAAATCTCAGCACGGATACAGAAGGCTCGACTAGCTTTTGCCAACTTGCGTCATTTATGGCGTAGGCGAGATATCCGTCTATCAACCAAAGGACGTGTTTACTGCGCAGCAGTTCGTTCCGTCCTACTTTATGGGAGTGAAACATGGCCGGTAAGAGTAGAGGATATCCGTAGGTTACTAGTATTTGATCATAGGTGTCTTCGAAACATTGCTCATATATCATGGGACCATCGAGTAAGTAACACAGTTGTTAGGAAACGGGTACTAGGTAAGGATGGCAAATCAATTGATGAAGTAGTGAAACTTCATCAGTTGAGATGGCTGGGACACGTGTTACGTATGCCCAACGACCGACTGCCTCGACGTGCTATGTTCAGTGGTATAGGAGTAGGTTGGAAGAAAGCTAGGGGCGGCCAAACCAAAACATGGCACAAGTCCATGAAGTCACTGACAAGTGAACTGAGTCATGTTGGTAGGTGTAGACTACCTGGTTGGGGACCGCGAGATGACAGCAACCGATGGTTAGAGACCCTGAATGACATGGCTCAAAATCGTTTGCAATGGCGCAGGTGCATCCACTCTCTGTGTTCTCCCAAATTCTAATCTTCTGAATTCTTCATGTCCCTTTTTTTCCTCTTTCCAAATTTCTTTCACTGGATTATACTCTTTAAATAACATCTCCAAACCCTAATCTTCCCGATTACTGCTTATACTCTTATTACCTCTACCACTACGGGATTTGAATCGACAAG